GCACATTTCCATTAATGATTGCATATTGAGGATTGAGAGTAAAAACACAAAGGGTGATGCCGTGCATTTTATTTTCTGTTGCTGTGATTATTTGTTGTTATTGGTTCAAGTGCCTTAATTGTTTCATTTCTGTTATTTCTGTGTTTCCTTATTCTGGTATCCCTCATAGCATGTTGCCCCTTCCCGTAAATTTCTGATTGTTTCTATTATTGTTATTCTGTTAGATATTGTTTAACTGCACAGGTTTATGATGTTGGTCGTGTCCTAGCCTCGTCACTACTTCGCCGAGGTTAGGCTCGGCACTTACCAGTACATAGGGTCGGTTGTACTGATGCTACACTCTGTACTTTTGTGCAGATCCCGATATTGGACCATACAGACCGTAGTTCGAGGTTGCTTCCTTTAGTCCAGTGGAGACCCGAGGTAGTTTTGCAGACGTCCGCAGGCCTTGGCGTCCCCTTCTATCCTGCTTCTTTTCTGTTTTATCTATTTCTGAGATAGATTTGTATTTCTTTGTTCAGACTACTATTTGTAGTATTCGTAGACAGTCTGTGAAATTATGGCACTAGTTCTGGGTGAAGTTTTATTATGGATTTCGTATTTGTATTAAGATAATTTGTTAAATTCTATTTTTCCGCATTTATTCCGCTAATTTTCTTATGATAACTCATAAATTGTTAAGGATAAAGTAAAAAGGGGTAAAGTAATTAGTAACGTTGGCTTGCCTAGCGGGTTCAATGTTAGGTGTCATCACGGTTCCGACAGTGGAAAATTCGGGTCGTGACACAAATCAGAATTTTCACAAGGCAAAAGTCGAGATAAGAAAGGAAACGTTATATATATATATATATATATATATGAAAATATTTACATGGATCGGTCAGGATCCTACACAAAAAATTCAAAAAAAAAAAGGAAAGGAAATCATAAGTGCCTAATTTTCTTCGGGAGCTGCGTCTTCATCATCAGAATCCCCTCCACTCTCGGATCCGCTCGTGCTCCCAGAATCATCGTCATAAGAGAGCAACGTTTTGGCTTCGGCCTCGAGTACTTTCGCGTTCTCGATATCGATAACAAGGTTAAAGCCACGAATCTCCTTGAGAGTCTCTCTTCGAGACTTGTACTTGGCATGCTCGACATCCTAGTATGATCGAGTCTGAGCAGTGTCAGCCACTTCCTTTGCTCGAACTTGAGCAGCTTCAGCATCAGCTCGGTAGACGGCCGCGATCGCCTCCGCGTCAGCCTTTACCTTTTCTGCCTCAGATGTGGCCTTTGCAAGCTCGGCGGCCAACTGAGCCTCGAGCTCCTCAATTGTCTTAGTTGGGGCCGACCTTTCCTCCTTCATGCTTTGGAGTTGACGTAGGTCCGATGACAGTTGGGCTCGAGCAATATCTTTCTCAGAGGCAAGGTGGTCCATGTTTTACTTTCACCCCAAACTCTCCGCCTTCATCATGTTGGCCTCCTCACGAAGCTGCTTGATCTTCTCGGCCTTCTGCTGAACCTGCAAGATTAAAGTATTAGTCATCGTTCTCGAATTGATATATCGAGCTTCCAAAAATTTTCATTACCTACTCAATCAGGTCTGCTCTTATGAGATGTGGCCAATTCGGCTCGGAGGTCCTTGATCTCCTCTTTCTTTTGCCCACTGAGAAGTTTGAGGGCATCTCTCTCCTCCATGAGCCTTTTAAGATCGGCCTCGCACCGGCTCTGCTGTACCCAGGATTTAGAAAATGCTTCCCGATGAAGTGTCAAGGCCAATGAAGAAAGAAAGGAAATCAGACAAGAAGAAATAAATGTAAGCGTAATATTGACAAAGGGAGATGAGGTTTACCCAGCTCAGGAGTCGTTGAGCCTCATCGAAGAGACCCGATACATCACCCAGGTCGATAGCATCTTCGACTCCCATGAAGCAACCACGGAAAAGGTCCTCCCCTTCCGGGCTCCTATATTAGGGGTCTCCATGGCATGGGCTTCCTGAATTTGCCCCTCGGAATATGTGGGGAGAGGCGGCGAATCGCCAATATCTATTGCCCCAAGCAAGTCACTTGGGGCATTCTCTTCGTTTCGAAGGGCCTCAAAACCGGCCCCTTCAGGCACATCCGCTGATTGCTCGTCACGGCGAGAGGCATCTTCAGCCTCCAAAGATTCAAGGACTTTGCTCGGGCCATCTTCCGAGATCTCCTCGGTCCGAGGCTGAACCTCTTCGATCATCACCGGCTCAGCGGCCTTCGGGGCCTCGACGCTCCTCTTCGTTTGAGATACTAGCTCGAAGCTAGCATCTTTATTTTCCTTTTCCACCTCCCTTAGTCACTGAAATACATCAGCAGGAAGGACATCAGTGTCTTTTTCGACCTGCGAGCCTTGCTCTTCTTGGGCCTTGGAGTATCGTAGGGTGAGACCCTTTTCCTTTTCTTTTCCTTCGACGACTTCAGGATTGGGGGCGAAACCTCCTCCTCCCTAGACGGGGGACTCATGACGACGTCTTTCCCCAGGCCTGTATGAAATGAAATCAAGTGAGTATAAGAGGGAAACATTTTAAGGCCATCAGATACGTAAAGAAAAGGCTTACCGTGATTTTTGGCCCCCATCAGCCCCTTGCTAAATCGCGCCATGAGCACTCAGCGTACGAGGAGTTGCTAGGGTCCGAATCCAGCTCTCGAGGTTCGGAATTGCACCAAGCATCCAAGAGACCTCTACATCCTAGAAAAGGATGTCGATGAGGAGAAGTAAATGAAACAAAACAGTAAATAGAAGCTAAAGGAAGGATTGAACTTACGCTTCAAATTCCATTTCTCGGAAAATGGCATCTTCTCGGCCGAAATTAGGTCGGAAGTCTTCACTCGAGCAAAATGACCCATCCACCCTCGATCTTTGTCCTCGTCTATGCTCGAGAACAACACCTTGGTGGCCCGACGCTGAAGCTTTATCAACCCACCTCGAAAGAGACAAATCGAGGGTAAAAGGCGTCCCTTCTTTTTTGCTTGCGAAAAATCGGAACAAAATGACAATCCGCCAAAAGGAAGGATGGATCTGACCTAGAGTTATTTGGTGTTGGTAGCAGAAGTCGATGATGACGGGATCGACAGGGCCCAGCGTGAAAGGGTAAGTGTAAACACTTAGAAACCCTTTCACGTGGGTAGTGATATCTTCCTCGGGAGTCAAAATCACCACCTTTTTCTTCTCCCAATAACAGTCTTTCTTGACCTGCTCAAGGTCACTCTCAGTTATCGAGCATATGTATCTCGATAACGGCTCACACTGGCCAGGGACAGATGAAGTTTTCTCAACTTTGAAGTCGAAAGTAAGATCACACACACCCTCGGGAACGCATTCCTGGGGGCGCGGCTCCACCGGCATTTTATCTCCGGTCGGTCGCGATGAAGAGGCACCCTCCTTTTGTGGAACGTTTTTAGACGTTTTTTCCATCTCTACAAGTTGAAAGAAGGAAAAAGAGAATGAGGTTTGGTGTTTTGAGGGAAGGTTGATAACAAAACCTAGAGATTATGCAACACAAAAGGGCTTGAAGGAAGTGAAAAGCTTTGAAGATTAGGGCGGAGATTAAGAGTAAAGTTTGGACAAAAGAGAAGGAAAGCACATTTATAGGAAGAAGGCGACGATTCAAAATCAATAATGGCGGACAACAACTGACAGGCATTTAGTGCCTCGATATGCGAACCGAGAGGACGTTTCAGTCACTCCCGTCGCTTATGTCATGAAGATGACATCATGACAGGTCGAGGTGCAAAATCGAAGGCTCAGTTCGTTTCTTCTCATTACACTCTAAGAAAAGAGGGGACTATCTGTATACGGTTAAAACCAGGCCTGCTCGATTTTACTATTTGATCGAGGCTAGGGAATTGCGTCGAAGGTCAGCCTCGCAACGGACTAGACCGAGGTACGAGGACAAGGCATTGAGTTCGAGGACCGAGGCACTTATCAAAGATCGAGGCCAGTAGCAATCAAGACCAAATGAGGCAGACATCGAGCAAAGCACAATAACGGAAAGACGAGATATCCTTGACTGGCCGGAGATCATGGCATAAATCTCAAAACAGATCAAATCAAGGGCGATTATTTAGTTAATCATGTGATTTACTTCCGTAATTAGAATTGTACCACAAATAGGATTCCTCTACTATATAAAGAGGTTCCTAATCATCTTGTAACCATCTTACATTCTCGCATAACAAAGCAACACATTACTTTCGAGCTTATATTCTTGTTCATCAGTTTGCTTTTTAACTATTTTGGGCACCGATCAGTTCGAGAGCACTTAAGCTCGAGGGTTGAATCACGTTTCAAGACTAGTTTGCTTTATCTCATTGTTAATCTTTACAGCTAATTTCCACGTTTATCAATTGGTATTAGGTAAAATCAAGTATCCTTTAAACCACATTATAAGTTTAATTGTTATCCGACTTTTAGGGTAAACACAGTCAATACTAAAAACTTTAATTAAATTAAATTGTGATCATGCTTGTTTAAATATATTAGATCGTATTGCTTGAATAAATTTCAATTGTCATCTTATTTGTTAATACGATGTACTTAATAATAAAATCTCTATTAAGTCAAAAGATCCTTATACCTTCATCAAATTATAAAATAAAAAAAAGACTTGATTTCTCTCCCGAGGCGGTTTTGATGACAAATACTAATCCATTCCCTATGAATTAAGTACTAAAATATTACAGTAATTTTTTTCAGATTGAATGAAGTTGTTTCCGCACAATTTGTTGATTATCAGGATCTTTAGCAGTTTTTGGAACTTGTTCTTTAATCTGTATAATAAAGTAGGCTATCACAAAATTACTAAAATAGTAATATCATCTAAGGAAAGTATTAAACTTTCATCAGTTAATAGTAAGGCAAAATCGTATACTGGAGACGACCTAATAGTAGGTGATCCTATCTCCTAATATTAAAGCTATAACAGCTTCAAAGCTCCTGTAGTAGCAAAAGTTGCATACTGAAACTACTTTAAGACACTTTGGTAGCACTTCAAAAAACATATTTTTCCATGAAATAAGTGCTCATAGTTTTTACAAACTCAAGGTACCGTACCACTATTTTTACTATCTCAAAATACTCGTTCTCACTGACACCCTAGACAATTCTTTATCCAGTTGAGTTTTGCTTTGCTATCCAGGATACTGTAAGGAGAATCCACGATAAGTGATACAGTCCTTAAAAGTTACAGAATTTGAGGATAAAGAGGAATTTGCACAAGGGGCATCACACAGATAAAGAAACTTCAGAAAAAGAAATTCAACTTATATCCCCCTTCAACTGAACCACTGCCATCAAATATCAACCGATACATATATATATACAGGCTCTCATCCAACAAGTAGAGAATGTCCATACTGGAAAAAATGAACAATGGGCTCTCTACAGGGGATGAAGCAAACCAATAGATTTTCCAAAGCATTGCCAGATCCACTGTGCAGGGTCTCACTTCTGCCAACCCACTTCAAATTCTCCCGTTCTGCTGCATTACGATCGAAGATCAGAGTGTTTGAAGCATTGGAAGGCCTTCCCAATAATGTTCATCTTCCTTCATGAAGATCTTCTGAGAATACAGTTGCCCGAGATACGTCATTCTCGAACACACTCAAACCAGAGTAAGGACCAGAAGAAAACATAGACGAGGTACCGTCTGATTCAAATGTTGTAGATGACTGCCTTATGTTAGGTCGAGTGCCTGAATTTATATTAGTATCCTGGTACTCAGTTACCCGCTGAACCATTTTGAGAGACTGAACCACTTCTCCCATTGTAGGCCGTTGGCTAGCTTCCGGAGCAACACAAGCCGCAGCAATTGTACAAACCCGCACAAAATCCTCCTTTGGGTACTTTCCCTCAAGCCTTAAATCAGCAAGTTCTTCCAAACGATCCTTGTCTCTAAGTATTGGTCTGGCCTGAAAACAAAATACAGCCCTTTCTTTTTACAGCCTTTTCCAAAGAGAGTCCAATGACAACACAATAAGCTTCTTTGTAAAGTACCAAAAGGGGAAAAATGGAGACATGAATTCTGAAGATCACTAAGTGCACAAAAACTCTGTTACCATTTCAAAAAAAAAAAAAAGGTGTGCAAGTACACTTGTATGATCTGAAGTAAGAGATGTAATAGTATAAGAAAGTACCAACAACTAACACTTACCCAAGTAACAAGATTTTCCTGTCCAGATGGTTGTGACATATCTACAGGCTTCTTTCCTGTCAACAATTCAAGGAGGACAACCCCATAGCTGTACACATCACTTTTTACCAGTAGGTGCCCAGTCATGGCATATTCAGGGGCTACATACCTGCACAAAACAGTGCTTCCAAATTAGTCAATCTTTTATCTTAGAGAAGCATGTGTTAATGAAGAAACACTAACCCAAATGTGCCCATAACACGAGTCGAGAGGTAATTCGCCTGGCCTTCCGGGGCCTGTTTTGCAAGGCCAAAATCAGCAACTTTAGCATTAAAGTTGTTCTCAAGCAATATATTTGATGCTTTGAAATCTCTATGTATAACACAAGGTTGAGAATCTTCGTGCAAATATGCAAGTCCTCTCGCTGCATCAAGCGCAATTTTCATTCTTGTGTCCCAATCCAGTGGGCAGTTTAATCCTAAAGGGCCTGCAGCAAGCAAGTGCAATTGTTAAACTCCTTGATAAGTTGAATAGGTCACAACGCTGATTTGTGCGACCACCTTGTCTAGAAACTTAAACTGTTAGAAAGAGGACACTTTTAACAGTTCACTTAAACTTCTAAATAACACCTCCCCAGGAGCAGGCTTGATTTCTTTTCCTGGGCCCAAGACACGCAAATTCGTTTATTCACGAGAATAGCAATGAGACTTGAAGGATCTGTACATACTCTAACCTGCTATAGAATCTAAATATCCACTCCAAGTTTTAGGGTAATGGTAGAATAGCTCAGAACCATTGTAATGACTTTCAAAACATATGTGAGAGTTCATATTCATCTCCAATAGACAGGCCATATAAGGAAAGCTGAATATGTTGATAGTTGGAGTTACCTTTCCTTTATGTGACTTCTTACCAGGTAAGCAAATTACAAACTAAAATAGCAAGGCAGATATTGTAGCTATTTAGTTGCAAAGTTGACAAAAGATAAAGTCACAAAAAACTTACCATGAAGCCAAGCCTCCAAACTCCCATTTGGAACAAGCTCATAACACAGTAGGTTCTGTGAGGACTCACGACTGCTATAGTAACCAATAAGTTTCACCAGATTACGGTGATGCAGCCTACTAAGCATCTCAACCTCAACTAGAAACTCTTTACCTCCTTGTTGGCCTCCACTAGTAAGTCTTTTTATTGCAACAGCAGTACCATCACTCAGCACACCCTTGAAAACTCTGCCAAAGCCGCCCTCTCCAAGTATACTAGATGGTGCAAAGTTATTTGTAGCTTCTTTCAGTTCTTCATATGGAAGGAACCGTGTACTAGTTGGATGGGGAAATGATCCCTCAGTTGGAACAGCGTCCGTACGTATCGGTTTTGCTATCAAGAAATCAAAATACAAGTGAATTTTTATAAAGTAAAGAGACTTAGGTGGTGCAACAAGTACAAACAAAAACATCTCCATTTATAGTTTCAACATCGCGCATTAAAAGAACCTATAAAAATATTTCTAGTTAGCAGAAAAATAGCTTCAATTCTAGTTTCTTCAATATATCAGCCATTTTAAGATATTTTTGGTTCAAAGGGAACTGGTAGCTCAAGTATAGCATTGTGGGTTTAAGCCACCAGTTTAAGTATAATAACCATTTTAAGTAGCTCATACAGGAAATTATGAGAGCTCAAGACGTCAGATGCAAACCAAAGTTTCGCAGATAGGGAGAACTTCGTTTTAACATTACTTCTGAACAAAAGATCAATGAAAGCTTCTGCAGAATTTTTGCTTTTTGTCTTATTTGACCAAAAGTAAGTAGTTTGCTAGAGTTATTGATCAAGCTTCTACTGCTCAAGTAACACTAGTCCAAGTTAACAAGAGAGAGCCTTTTCCATCCTTGTTTCTTCTGTTCACCAATCCAAATTTCTGTTCCTACGTGGGTTGAACTTTAAAAAGAAGACGATCCAAATTCAGGATAATTTGATAAGTCCATGGAACATACAATCACTTACCAGTTTCTTTGTGGGGTCTTTTCTTCTGTCTTTGATTAGATCCACAGAAACAAATAAAGAGTGTTGATATGATAGTGATGATTAAGATGCCAGCAACAATCCCAACAATAAGAATTAAACTTGGATGTCTCCTTTTGTTCGAAGACGCTGTTACTGCAGGAGCTGAAGGCAGCCGCGGAGCTGCTTCAACGGGTGACATAGCAGAACGAGGAGCTGCATATCAAAGAAAAGTTGCTCAACAAATATGAAAAGACCTGTGGAATTGAGGGGTTAATAACAATCCCCCCCCCCCCCCCCCCCACNCCAAAACACACACACACACTCTCCGAAATATTCAGCCTGTTCTAGAGGAAATTATCTGCACATCAGGTGTGAAATATAACTAGAAGCAAGTACCTTGTGCTGAAACTGGCGGCTTAAACCAGGTAATGTTGAGCAATTGATATCCACCCACTAGTGCTGGATCTAGATGGATCTTATGCATTGATAACGAAGAGTTTATTGCAAAGGCTTCAGCAGATGATACACTAATTCCCTTATCTGGTGTGATATCCATGGATATATTTAGCTTTGATAGATCCACCAGGTAAAAGTTAATTAGCTCAATTTGAGAAACCTTTAAACTTAATTGTGAAGCAAATTCATTCAGAAACAGTTTCCAATTTGGATTTGATGAGACATTCAAGAGGAGTAGGTCGATCTTTAATGGGTAAACACACTGGCAGTCCTGGCTTCCTCGTTTGAGCACCATATCTGGCCCACAACAGTCTGCCAAAATGGGAAAGAAAAAAGATGCACATAAATGTGGAGATATATCTTCCAAGGGGGATGGCAAAGAATGAATACCTTCACTGACACATTATAAAGAGATAGGTTGTGATTCTTACATATGTTTTGCACTTATCCACACCAAATGATAGTTCGCTAATGAGTCAGTGTTTAAATGTGTCCTATAAGCTGTACCAATGGGAATATATTTGAAATATCACTCTCCCTGTATCCTTATTTATGTAACTTGGAGAATCAGCTTGTTTCTTTTGAATATTTAACATAATTTTTGGTATTTTTAAGCGGTGTTTGGTTTGAAAACCGATAGGACTGATTTTGGAAACCGAATAATAGAGTTCTTAGGATATAAAACAAATTTGGAAATCAGCGACGGTTTTGGAAATCAACTTTTGCAAAACAAAACCAACAGTGAATTCTGTTTTCTCAACATTAAACTTTTCATTAGATCCTTGCATTTCGGTATGGAACTCTTTTCAGATTTATGGCCCGTCTCCCCCTCCCCTTCACTTTTTGGTTGTTCCCTCTGTTGGATCCATATACAGAGAGAAAGTAACGTTCTATGATTTATCGGCTACTGGGAAGCAAGTTTTGCAGCAATTTAAGATATGCAGTCGATTTGTATTAGTAAATTCTAACCAAATGAAAGCGTAAAATTCCCTCTTGAGAGATTCAAACACAATCACTTTTCAAAACCAATTCTTCTAGAACCTTAATCCAATTGCTCACAGTTGTTTCCAGAAACCAATCCTAAAACTTACACATCCAAAACCAATTCCAGAACCAGTTCCAAAGCCAAATCCAACCAGCCTCTTAATTTTTAAAACAAATGGTTTATGATACTTTTTATATAGTTTTCGCTTATGAAACCTTTTTTCCCAATAAATATAATGCATAACCCTAAAACTATGACTCTCATTTTCTGCTATAGTACTACTGGCTTCTCCCTATTTTGTCTTTTTTTGTGGGAATGGAGGAAATAGGACATATATACACTAGGCCGCAGCAGGCTTCGGTTTAAATTCATTAAAAAGAAAGATTCTTACTGGAAGTGTGAGGAGAAAGTGGTGGCTGAGTCAAACCAGCGGGTAGAGTACTAGGACTGGATTGTGTTGGAGCAATCTCTGCCGAATGGGGAGGTGCAAGGCCAGCACTAGGAGGCACCAATCCACTTTTCTTCATTGATGGAGGTGCAAGGCCAGCATTAGGAGGCACCAATCCACTTTTCTTCATTGATGGCTTGGACAAGCGCGAACTGGAAGGAGGGTGTGCAGCAGTTACTAAAGGACCATAATCAGGAGGCTGGGCAGGGCCTAGCCAAAGCCGTGATGCACCAGAAGGAAAATGATTTCTATGTTGCCTATGAAATGCAGGTACACTCGCCGGCAGGAGCAGATCAGGTAAGCCAGGTGCTTCAACAGGTTTGTTGACCGGTGAGATGGGCTGTTGTTCCAATGGCTTATCAAGCAACTCGGCATTTGTTACGCACAAGAGATAAAATAAGATGGTTAAATACTTCAGCGTCAAAGATTGGCCCCTCTCTGATACCTCTGAAATTCATATTAACCATAAATTAGAAACTGAATAACGAGCAGTCGAGCACATATTGCAGCAAAAATAGCATTAATACAACAAAGTAACATCTATCAGGGATCAAATTGCCAAGTAGGTCACAATAAATTACTCCATTCTCACTTTAAGAGTTTGCATCTAAAAGGAAGAAAAATAACAGCCGGCACAAATTTACTCAACAAAAAAGAAAGAGATTATGGCAAATGTGACAGATGGAGATGCCCAACTAAAATGTGTCTGTAGTGCACGAGTATACAAATACATATGTCTAAGTATTTCTGTTTGTTCACAATTAGGAAGGAAAATGTGACAGCGTCCTAGTCTTCTCAAAAGAAGCACACTATTTAATAAACCTTAAATTCTAAGAGGAAATTGTTACCTTCCTCAAAAGAAAAAAATTCTAAGAGGAAACACTGTTTTGAAATTGAGAAGTAACTAATTTCGCTTGACTTTTTCCTTTTATAATTAAGTAGTTCATTAACAGTGAAAACCAACACTAAGATGATTCTGGAGTGCACAAAAAATTATATACTGTCTAGTTATTAAACCTATGCCTGTGAGGAGTTGAGACATGCTATCAATGTATACACTTTGTATATGTTATCCAATTTACATCATATAGCTAATAAGTACAAGCAGATCAAACTATGACCTGCTGCTGCTTTTCCTTCAAATCCGCCTAGAATTGCTAGTCACTCAAACTAAACACTACAGAGATAAAAACGAGCCACACGCAGATTTATATGTACGGGTAATTCCTTTTTGCACATGAATAAAAAAACACAAATCAATTGAGATTTTTCTTTCTTAGCGTTTAATTTCTCATTTTTCACGATTACAATCCCACATTTTAAGGAGGCTTATCAATAAATATTTTGGGTGACCTGATAGTGCAAAAAGTTCTTTACGCTGATGGTCTATATAACTCAAACTCTTCTAGAAATGGAATGCTACTCTTCATTGCCAGCTCAAGACTCATATTAGATGCCAATAAGGCAATAACTAGTTTCAGCAAAAAATAAAAATAAAGCAGGATATCATTTTTACCCCAAGCTTCCAGCAGCAATTTTAATACTTCCCAAATTTGAAGACAGATTTAAATTTCAGTAATTAACCCTAAATTAACCAACTAAACTAGCACCAAACTAGTAAGTTCGATGAAAAGACATCAGTAAGCAGCTCTCACTGCACAATTTATATGGAAAACTACTGCGGTAGCAACTGGCAAAAATTAGAAGGAAAAAAAAGAGACCTAAAAGACGATTAAGACCTAAGGAAGTAGAAGAACTCACTAGCACAACGGGGGAAGAACAGTAGCTTTGCCAAGTCCAACATCGCTGACAGCCAATGAAAATAAACACCGTTCGGATCTGAAGAAATTGAACAAAACCAACGGTCTAGATCGAAAAAACCAGTAGACTAAAATAACAAGAAGCAAAACTCTGAACAAAAACATGTATCAGCCATCGAATGAGGATGCAAAAACCCAACTAGAAAATTTCGCAAAGAAAAAATTTCATATTTAGCGGTGTCTTTCATCATTTTTGGGCTAAACTCCAGCTGGAGAAATCCTCACTCGTATCAGTTGGGTGGGTGGGGGAGTGGGAGTGGGGGTGGGTTGGGGGACTTGTCGTTGGCTTCACTCTGTAATTAGTACTAGTACTGAAAGCTTTACTTCCATTTTTCTTTATCTACTTTTTCTTTTATTTCTTCTTTTCTCCTTTTTTTTTTCTGCTCGAGTTGTCGGTATCTGTGACGACTTTGTTGAATTTTTAACGTGCACCTATGATAGCAAAATCTTACCATAACGGTAAGTGAGAAAATAATAGACTCAATTTTGTCACTTTGAAACGTGGGTCCATTGGGTTTTTTACTCTTTACAAATTTATTTTTTGTTTTATGTTCATACCTCTTTGTTTACATACGCTAGATTTCTCTTTTACATAAAAGAGATCTAAAAAATTTATTTCCTTAAATTTAAAATTGTAAAAGGGAATGATGTACATATAACACTAAAAAAAATAGGAGTACTGTATTTGATTTTAGGGCCATTTTCATCAACAATCACGGTCTGGATTGCCAACAAAGGAGATGTAATGCGTTTTGCCCTGAAATCTTTTTGAAAAAATGTGATATTTTCTTTGAAGTTTTAACTCAAAAGTTATGTAGTTTATTGTCGTCATTTATCTTATATATGATGATGCACTTTGGTAATATCTTAATATCCTTATTTTAAAGCGCTATAACAAGTTAGAGTCTAATTATTTTTATTTTAAGTAACACCCGAAAAAGCATACGCTAAGGGGTCGTTTGGTAGAGTGCATAAGAATAATGATTAATATGGTGTATTAGTAATGATGGTATTAGTTATGCTTGCATTAACTATGCTAGTATTAGTTATGCTGACATATTTCTTATCCATTGTTTGGTATATTAAAGCATTGCACACTTTCTAAAAGAATTGCTTGTTTACAAAAATATTCTCAAAACTAGTCCATCACTCTAACTTTTTAAAAGAAACATATGTTGAGAAATGTTTTAATATGAAAAAGTTTAAAAAAAATAATTTAATTTGTCTACCTATATTGTAATATAGAACTAAATATTTATTTATAAAAAAAGAAATATGCTAAGTATTTATTTATTTACTAGAGATATAATTTTATTTCTCACTATTTGGATTATTTTAAACTTGCATTAATATAATAACTAGCACATTTTAATCAAGCATAAATTTTGAAGGATAATTTTGTCTTTAACTAAGCTAATGCATGCATTAAAAACCATTGCATTGCTAATACCATGGTTTTCTATGCATTAATTATGCATAGGATAATACCAAATAGAATGTATAACTAATGCTTGCATAACTAATGCATAAGTTCAAAATATCTACCAAACAAGGTATTATTAATACACAAAACTAATGCATGCATTATTTTATCTAATGCATCCTACCAAACGACCCCTAAGCATATCTTTACCAAAGTCATAACTCCATAAGTATTCAAAGCTACCTACTTATTGTTAGCGAAAAAAGCAACGACATAAATATGTTTGCAAAGCCAAAAACCACTCATATGAGTTAGCGGATATCACATGTATCTCTTCCCTAATGGAGCAAAGGTCTCGCACCAAGTAAAGGCGTAAATTTGACCATTCCCAGTTTTAAAAATTTCAAAAGTATATTATACTTGTTCTTCCAAAAAAAAAAGATCTACTTGTTTTGTAGAGGTAAGATGAAGAAATATTGTGGAGAGGTGTGTAGACATCAAAAATTTATCGATCAAATCCATATGAAATTTGGGTTAAGCCCTAAATTTAAGATACTACAAGTAGAGTTTGTTAGGGTTTCTTGGAGGCTACTTTACTTAAAACCCTAGCTTGGAAGATACTGTACTAAAAATCCTAGCTTTACCTATAAAAGTGGCCATATATTCCTTTTTGAAAGTATCTCGAAATTCCATAAAAATTCATGAAATATTTATAAAGAGATCAAAGACATCAAATATTGTCTTTTTCAAAGCCGCTGAAGTTGGAAATAAAACAAGAAAAGACAATTCATCAGTATCGTCATCATAACCATAGAAATAGTGATAACATCCTAAAAACCATTAAATAGATGACGTGCAATAAAAATAACCAGCATTTAGAGTGAATTAAATTAGAATTAAATCCCAAAAATAGCTATTTTGCACATATCCTGTCAATCCCTTATTCCTCACATTGATAAGAAACCAATTCTACGAATCTCTAACTCCTTGCTATCAATTGTCAATTGCTTTATTTTAGTAGTTAAACGTAGTTCATAATTATTACAAATCAAGCTTTGGTCATCCTGAATAGTGATAAGCTAGAAATTACGTGAGCATTATTTTAATCTAATTCCTGTGGAGACTATAATTTTATTATATTATCTTTGATTAGCGAGCATCAATTTTTTATTGTGTTTTGTGCTCGTCAAATTTTGGCGCCGTTGCCGGGGGTCGAACCCGGGTCACCTGCATGACAAGAGGGAATACTCACCACTATACTACAACGACATGCGCAACAGAATGAGGAGCTCAAAATACAACACAAAATTATTGCTCTCTAGTCAAATATAGTATACTTTAATTATCGTCTCCACAAGGATTGGATTTAAATAATGTTCGAATATATTCTGGTTTAATTGCTATTCAGGAGGATCAACACTTGAGTTAAATGATTATGAACTATGTTTAACTATTAAAATAAAGTAATTGACAATTGACTGCAAAGAACTGGAAATTTTCAGAGTTGGTTTCTTATAAATGTGAGGAATAAGGGTTTTGACATGATAGGTGCAAGATAACTATTTGGGATCTAACTCTAGTTTAATTCACTCTAATGTTCTAATAATTCCCACGAATTCACTCGATGATTAGTTCAAATGTGTAGCCAAGACTCCTCCTTCGATGAAATCTTAATTCTATGAGGTGATAAGCACTGTGAAAGTATGGAAGCATTCGTTAATGGATAGTCTTTAGGAAAACGTCTCTCGAATATTCTCCTATATTGATTTAATCAACTATTCAACAAGCTCTTTAGATTACTTAGGAGAATCACTATGTCAAATCAAACAAAATAATGCAAAGATAATCACCAAAATATTCCTCTTTTGATTAAATAAATGGTGAATAAAGTTACAACAATTCAAAGCTCCGTAACAATTCAAAGCTCCATAAACGAATTCAAGCAAAGAATTAGAGTTAAAATCCACAATATTTATCAAAACACCATATCTGTCAAACCCTAAGGTAAACTACTCCATAATCATGGAGGAAGTTGTCAAAAAATATAATTAAAAAAATAAAGAAGCATCTATCTAACGTTACAATCCAAACTCCCGTATTTAGTTGATGGAAAGATGATGAGATCCTAAGTCTTGTAGCCTCCAATGATGTCTCAAAGCTTCCAAGGTCAAAAGTCCTCTCAAAGTCATATTTTTGGTGTATTTATATCATGTAGGAACGGGCCCGGATGAAACTACCCTTTCCAAGCCGAAGTGGGACAGTTGGACAACAAAAATACACTGGCGCGGTGCCTTATGCGTCACATTAGTGAGGATCTTCAGAGAGTTAATTTTTTCACTTTGCAGGAATTTTGCATTAGCGCTATGAGCCCCGCGGCGCAATGGTGCAATTTTGTTAGAGTAATTTTTGTTTTCTCACTTTTTGATATCCAGACTTGGTCCTCAACCTCCCAACATGATCCCGACTTAATTTCTTGGGCTTTTACTTAGACTTCAAAGCTCCACATTGTTCGATTTAGTTCCAAATTATCTTTTGACTCGGAATCACTTCCTGCAAGGCATAAATACATAATAAGTGCAATACACTAATATTTAAACTCAAACACAAGTAAAATACAGTAATTGGAGTGCAACTTATGATTAAAATATGGGTTTCTAGCCTACCATCAATACTCCACACTTAAACCATTGCTCGTCCTCGAGCAATCAAACTGCACTTCACATAGAGACGACCTTCTTTATCAGACAACATCCCTAACACATCATGCCAAGAATATTTAAAAGCATACTAAGCACCCTATCATAACATTCTAGCCTCACGACTCGTCTAAACAATACCACGTATTTTTCAAAAACCTGCTCACTTACTCTAACATAGAGGCCAAAGACATTACCTTTCCTTCGCAAATCATGTGCCCTCACACCAAATATACAGAGTAGTTCCACACGCAATAAAATTCAAGAACAAATAGGAATTCAAGATAGAAAGAATTAACTCACTCCCAAAAATAAAATTCATGCCACAGAAGACGTACAATAGGCTTGTCCGTAGTATAATACTCTAAGGGATTGAGCTCATTCAGTCAAGGATCAGCAGGACTTTAATTGGTTGTAATGTAGGCTGCAAGATGGGTAGGATACATTTGGATATTGTGACTACACCTCCCTAAGCACTTTAATACATATACATTAACAATTTAAACCCCACACTTATGTTGAACCAAACCCCAACCTTCATACATAATAACATCAAGCTCCCAATTTCTTTAAGCACAGACAAACCAAGATTTACCACTAGCAAGGAATAATTTTTTTTATTTTCTAATTTCTGATTTTTTTTTCTTTTCAAGCACACTCACTCTTTTTTTCTTTTTCAATTCCATACGAGTGGATCTCACAATTTCTTCAAATAATGCACCTTTATCCTTTTTCAATAGTTCCACTAAAAAACCCCACTTAGCTTTTACAAGATCATAACAAAATCAAGTGCTCAAGAGAGGTAAAAGATTCAAACAGATAGTCAATTCAAATAAAATGGATCAGACTTGTAGTGTGATTGCCAAAGAAGTAGGATTACGGACTCAATGAGGCTAACTAAAATACACATTCATTAGGTTGGTAAAAGCATATATGTGGATCAACAAAAAAATGTCTATATCACTTCATAAATTGAACAAGACTATTATTTCACTTTACAAACACACGGGACAAGTTCTAGACATCAACCGACATGCACAGAATATCACAAAAACCTCACACACACATTGACACATAACTCACTTAGAACCGGATCTATCCCAACTCTCTAGTCAAAGCAGTTAAGCAACGTTATAATCACACAATTT